CAAAGGAATTAACTGTTAGTTGGCAAGATTCATGATTTCCATCTCAGCAAGCAAGAGCAGTAAAGGGCATGGTGCATTTCCCTAGGAAGGAAACGCCAGACAGGCTGCAAAGGGCCACTGAGTCCAGGAAACAGGTGGCCTGTTGTCAGGTGAGGTGACTGGGGGAGTTAGTGAAGGGTCAGGGTTAAGGGAATGGAGAAGCAGTGGGAAGCTGTTACCACACTGGCCTGAAGAGGTAGAGGAAGGGGGCGGTGCTGGAAACAGCAATAGCTGTAGGCAGCTTCTTTACTGGCTGTGCCTGTGCCTTGTAGAGGGAAGGATCTGGGGAACCCACCCCCTGTCCTCCTTTGCTCAGTACTCTGATTACCTCCAGGTGCCTCCCCTTGTCTGGAACTAACACAAAGCAGGGAGCAAGTGCATGCAGGTTGGTGTTCCAGGAAGAGCTGGGCAGAGAAGGGGGGGAGGGCATCTACACAGACTAAAGGGAGGTAATCCAGCACAGATGGGATGTGTAAGTGGTGAGGAATAGTGGGGTTAGAGTGCCAGAGCTGTTTCTCCTTCCTCCCCACTGTCACACAGGGGGCAATGGGGACTGGGGAGGTTGAGAGGGCAGGCTCTGGGGCCTGCAGGCCTGGCTTTGAATCTGGACTCCACTATCACTTAGTGGAATGATCTGTGTTAAGTTCCTCTTGGGTGAAAATTCTCATGGTTTCTGCACATCTTGTGAGCAGAGGTATTCACTGCCTTTGCCCTGGGACTATATGTCTGAGGATGTTTAGATAGCAAGCAGTCTTGGAAGAGAAAGTGTCTCTCCCCAGAGCAATGGTCAGGCATTATAAAAGATTTGGGTTCTTGAGATTCTTCAGTAGATGAGCCACTGTGTGTGAGGCATCACCTGGCTCTGTGTGTCACCTGTGGAAATTGGGATTCAGGGAGCTGGCACAAGCTGCTGGTGCCAGCTTCCACTACTGCTGTGATAAAGCTTGGTCCTGTCTCTCACTGGGGTCTCCTGTGTTCTGCCTGCATGCAGGACACTGTGCAGCAGGCTAACTGGCTACTCTGTAAATAGTGTAAGGTCTTACACACTCCAGAGCCCCTGATGGGTACCTCACCTCATTGACCCAATTTCCTCAACTGTGAAATGGGAACAAGAAACGGGCTGCAGTGATTACAAAACTGACACACATAAGGAAGGGTATAGAACAGCTCCTGGTCATAGTTAAGTGCCCAAATTATTTTGTCTACTTCTGTAAGGCAAATCAAAAAAAGCAAAACAAACATCATAAAAAGAAGGGGGCTTGAAGCCCACAGTAGTAAAGACACAGACTTTATAAGTTTCTCTGAATGAACTGAAGTTTCAAAAGTTCTGAAAATACTTAAAGAGATGTGATTATGGAACAGACTTAGCACTGATATCTTTGAAAACCATTCTGAAGAGAGGAGTGGGGAGAGAAAACCAAACATGTCAAAATCCCAGTTTCAAAAAGATTCCAGACACAGCAGACAGGACCGTTAGATGCAGATTCTTGAAAATATTCCAGAATAGATGACTAAACAGATGGTTTGTGAGCCTGTGGAAAAGAACACAGCGATCACTGGAGGCCAGCACAAGTTCACAAGTAACACGTTGTGCTGTACTCGTCTTTTTCTGATTGGACTGTTGGATTAATCACCAAAAGACTGTGAAAATAGCTTGAGTTTAGGATGAATGAGTGTTATGGAAAGGAGGAATTGAATTGAATGAGAATATAAATGACACATCCCTTGACCTGAAAGAAGGTTTCTAATGGAATGCCTGCTCTATCCTGTGCATGCTTAGCCAAGGCTTGGATAAAGAAAACATGTCTGAAGGTGACACAAAGCTGGGAGAAATACCCAGAATGTATGTGAAGTATTTCACTAGTCCAGAACCACAGGCTGAGCCCAACAGAAACAGAATTAAGTTCTTCATTTGGGTTCTTCACTGGCCAGACAGTGGTCATATGGAATAAACCTTGGGCTTTAGTTATCTGTAGGCTTGGTGTGAGAGCCAAAGATAAGAGGCAGTGACTGGAAGAAAGCAGCTTTGGTCACACTGAGCTGCAGCATGGCAGTAGTGTGGCCTGCGAGGCACTGTGCCAGGGGCCTTGGTCACACAGCAGCAAAGCTGGATGCAGTTCTCAAGGTCACTCTCAAGACCACATCACATGAGAAACTGCCGAGCAACTAGAACAAATCAGCCTATAAAAGATGGAGGGAGGCGTGATGACGCCTACACACATTATCATGACTTACCGGACTTCTTCCCTGCTCACCTCTCAGTCTTGTTTCTGTCCATGTTCCTACATGTGCCCCCTGATTCCTGAATCCAGTCCTGCTGACCTGTAAGTTGTCTGAACCTCCTCTTCCCTCACACCTTGAGGTGCACACCCGTTGCTTCCCCACCTCCACGGCCCACCACTTTCAACTGACCAACTCTGCCTTGTCCTCAATCTCAGATTCTCTAGGACACCACCTCCTCAGTCCAGGCCCAACCGCCTGCTGTGGGAGTTTGCTGTCTGCTGAATCTCCTTGATGACAGAGCTCTAACTCATCAACCCTCAAGGAAGATCCAAAAACAAGAACAGCTATTTCATGGGCACTACAAATGTGAAATATATTATCAAACATTAACAAATTTAAAATACCATCATTAATAGATACTTTCAATATGAGAATTTAAAGTTTTGTTTTCCAGAGCCTTTAAAAATGTAATGCACTAGTTATCTGTACCTCAGGAAAGAATAAAACATTTGCAGCAACTATAAGGCAGACTCCCCTCCAAATGATTTTCCATCCTCTCTAGCACCATCAGTGGGAAGTTCTACCATTTATATTATTCCACCTCTCTGGTTTTAGAGTTACTTAAATGATACCATGTCAGAGGAAACTGTGTTTGTGGAACTCTCTGTTCCCTGCGATCAAATCAACAAAGACCACACTCTCCATCTGCTCATCTCTAGGCAGGATGCAACTTGGTACAGAAAATACCTTACTGAGGACCACTGACCTGGGGTGATGCTAGGGTGTGTCCAGCCTCAGAAGGTGCCTGTAACTGGTCTGTGTTCTATTGGCCAGAAGAGCTTGGTCTCCTATAAAGTAAACCCCACAAGGCAAAATTAAATGGGCCCTGTTACCCAGTGTTATGGGACAGTGCTCTGCTCAAACACAGGCCTGCAGTCTGCCAAGACTTCTCCAAAGAGCCATACTTGGTACGATTCTCCTCTTCTATCCTCATTCAAAAGATGTTTGAATGGACAACAAGCAGGAAGTTTTACAAATAAGCAGAAAGCAGGAGTTGGAGATGTTAGGAGGGGCACAAAGACTTGAGAGTTTCATGCTCTGCAAATAGAGTTTCCCCCAAACCTCATTTCAGTCACTAGTCCCACGGTAAGAGTTAGAAATGACCTTCAGGACAGTGAAGGCAGGCGGGAAAGGTAGGAATGAACTATACCATTTGATGTGGCCGTGGATGTCATGGTTTCTTCTTCAGCTTTCATTTTTCCTTTGTAACCTCACCCTGTGGTTAGATTTGCCCCTCTTGGGACTGTCTGTAGTGTACTCACTGCTTCTGCTCTGTTTTTAGTTGAAAGTAACCTTCCAGATGAGGGAAAAGCTTCTTTCCATCCAAAGCTACAAAGGTAGCAAACATATTCTGACATTTACCATGCTCATTGCATACTGTAAGGGAAGGGAGACTTTATAATTAATGAAAAAAATTCTCACCACACCTAAAGACTTCTGCTCAAGCACTAACAGGTCCCAACATCACCATCCACTTTTGAATCATGTGGTTGGACGCCTTTACCTCATATCTTATATATCAGGCCAGTATCTATGGTTAATGCAACTGCTCCTATTTTTATTCCTGACCCAGTATCTCAGCTATGTCTTTCAAATAGTATTCAGAGTTTTGTTTTCTCCCCTTCAGCTCTTCTCCCTTTATGTTTTTCAGACACTTCAGGAAGTTGATCACATGATGTTGCTCACTCCAATTTGTCAATATCTCTTTAAAACCAAGATTCACTGTGTACAAGTCTACTTAGATCATTCAAACAGGAACGCTTCTTGGACCTCACTGCCCATATTAATAGGGGAGCTAACCAGGGATTTGCATCTGAGACATAATGATTTAAATTATATCCCATAATGATTTAAATTCTAGAGGTCTATGCACTCATGAATTATACCAGACCGTCTGCATCAGTTCAGAATAAACTAATCTGGCAAACCTTTTTCACCTCCATCTTCGAAGTACTTGAATATACAAGGAAGCTGGGACAAGCTTTTTTTTTCTCACATTTTCTAACCACGCTTTTTATTTGAAGTAGGTAACTGAGTCAGATTAGATGGACTCAGAAGTTATTATATAAGTCACAGGTAGAGTTTGAGCATCACAAAAATGCCAAATAAGGATGTCTCTTCCATCATTAGGCAAGAAGTATTTTAAGAGAGGATAACTCTGTTTACATAAACTTTAATATATTATAGCTATGTTACATAAATACATGTATTTTATATGTAGTAATAGATATACTACTATTCACATCACATAATATTTAAAAATGACTGCTATAGCTGCCACCAGTAGATCAAAATTGACTGAGAAACTCTTGGGCAGAATGTGGTTCTCTCTTCACATAGCTGTGAGGACACAGGCTGGAACATATGGACAACCATAGAGCTCCTGGGAAAGGGCATCCGTATGCTCCATCATGGAAAGGCCTTTCTCCTACCTTCCAAAGGTGGGTAAACCAGAGGGGGGCAGCCACACTTGGTTTCAGTCAGCTGGCCCTTCTGAAACCTGGATTTCCTTCCCACATACACTCAGCTTTCCTGTCATTCCATGTCCAAGTGAAGTCTCATCAACTATAAATTACCATAAATAGGCTCTCCCCATGGAATCAGAGGTCTATGTGGTCCACTTAGGGAAGGCCTCTTGCAAGAGGGTTATTTGAAAAGAACTGTAAATGTACACAGAGTAGAGTCAGATACATTATATTTCTACAGACAAAATCATTAAGCAGAAACACAGCAGGATTTCTTTAATAATAAAGTGATTTGTTGAGATTCAAAGATTTATTCTTTAGAAAAAAAGAGAAAATTTATAAGATGCAAAGTTCTTACACAATACATTACCACTGATGATTGTTCTCTTTACACCTTTACATGGGCCCTGGCTTAGCCAGTGTTGGGAAGAACATGGACAGCATGAATGCATTTGAGACCCATCACAGACACACAGAAACATACCACAGTGAAAGAAGGACTCAGTGACAAATGATGTTGGGTTAGCCTGTCCCAAAAGCAAGCCAAGACATCATAGGAACCAACAAAACCTTTCTGTTGGGGAGGCACTGGGCACATGCCCTGCTGCCAAGAGCATGGGATGCACTCCCCACACTAGCATCACCCACTTCCTCTATCAGACCACAGCAACAAAAGAAAATGGTAATGTTCCTTTGGTGTTTTTTTTCAGGGCTATTCAGGTTCCAAGTTTCTTACTTCTGTCTTTCTTTTCGTGATTCAGTTCCAAATTCTTAAAGCAGTGTAGGTAGTTAGCATCTTTCATGAAATTTTCAGGATCCAGTTCTGCCCAATGATAATGCACTAAAAAGAAAATGATAAGACACATTACACAGAAGGGTCCCAAAATTTGCCTTGAGATCCTATTTAAAAATATGACCAAGAATAATAAAATAGCTGAAGATATCCTTTCAAGTTCATACAATGACAATAGCATGACAGTGTTTTACTTTACTATGTAAAATCTGCCATGTTGACATGTATGAATCCAAATACCTTCTCACACAAGGAGTCTTCAGTTTATTAGAAACCTTATTCTTAGAGTTCAAAGCTAAATATCTTGGAATTATTAAACAACTCACATCTAATGGCCTTTGATTCAAAGAGAAATCACAAAGCAAGTTAGAAAATATTTTAAAGTGAATGAGAATGACAACATATCAGAATTTATGATAATCACCTATGGCAGTCTTTGAGGGAAATTTGTAGCATTAAATGCTCATATTAGAAAAGAAGAAAGTTGTCAAGTCAATCATATGAGTTCCCACTTTAAGAAACTGAAAGAATAAAAACAGAGTAAACCCAAAGCAAGCAGGAGGGGAATAATAAAGATACAAACAAAAAATAATGAAATTTCAAACAGAAAAAGAAAAAATAAATTAAAAGATCAATAAAAAACTGATAAACCTCTTGCCAGACTTACCAAGAAAAAGAAGACACAAGCTATGAGGAATCAAAAAGGCAACATCAGTATAGATTTTATAGACATTAAAAGGACAAAAAAGATTTATCACAAACAACTATCCACACAAATTAGACAACACAGATGAAACAAATTCCTTGAAAAGATTCAAAAACCTTGTTTCCAAATCCATTTAACAATGAGGGAGGCAGAGGGATGGGGAGCCTAAAGAAAGCATAAGGACATGAAATAAACTAAATGATTATTCTTGGAATATTTTTAATACTGCTCAAAGGATGATAGGTTTTTTGGTATAAAATGCACAGGCGTCTCAAGTTTCCCTTTGTAATTCTGAGGCTACAATAAAAACTAGCTGGTCTTGCCTAGATTTCTGTGGTAGGCATTTGTCATTCAAAAATTTAAATCCCAAATTTAACAGAACAGTTTCTATCCCCTCAGATCTAAATTCTAATTGGAAGAACTTCAATAAAAGCAAAACATTCTGATAAGAGTAGTTTGCACATGGTGATGCCATATCTGTGAATATGCTTCTGGATACACTCAACACAGGTCACATTCTAAAGAATAGTGGTATTAAGGGCAGATGCCTCAATGGAATTAACAGCTTCCCATTACTGACCTACCTAGGTATCAAAGCCTATGGGTCCACATGTCTTGTGTGGCTTATTGGAACTGCAGCTAATCAATGCTTTTCAGTTCTATCTTGACCCACACAAGAAATCAAAATTTTTCCTGGTTCTACCCCATGCTCTGAAACCCACCAATCATAGTCCTACACTACTTCCTAAGCCATATCTCAAAGACCACAAAGAGGTAAGGAATATACAACATAAATTCCTGGGAACCATACTCCTTCCATTTTTTAAGAAAAGTAATCCATTTGCTCCTATATTTTAATCAAGATGTTAACCCAACCTGAGCACCTGGAGCCTATTAATACCAATAGCCTATTAACACCTCACCATCAATATGAATAACTGAAATCTTTAAGTTGAATCCCACATTAACCTTTGGAAACTCTATCTTCTTAGCACAGATTAAAACCTTTATTTTAGAATTTAAATTAGCTTTTAGATTCTTGTTTAATAGATTTTTTTACATTTATTTCAATTAAATATTGTACATGTTTTAATGCTTTGGGATAATAAATCTATGCATCAAATGGGTGCAAATGGAAATGATAAGTGTTACTACAGAAGAATGACCTACAAAGTGTTCATGATACTGTTAGATGATAAAAGCAGTGACATTATAAATACAGCATCTCTAACTTTGAAAAATTAGGGAAACAGAATTATCTATGAGAAAATGTGATAAAAGCATTCTGTTAATTACTGCCTTTAGAATGAGGTGGTAGATGATTTTTATTTTCTTATTTGAGCATTCTGGATTTTTTGAAATTTTCTATAATGAATAAGCATTAATTTTGTGATGAAAATGGCTGTCAAAGGAATTTTTATAAATGAAGGACAATTTAGGAATTCCAATTCACTATTGGAGAATCACAGAACTGGAAGGGATCCTGAGAGATTTCATCCCAGGGATTCTCAAAATTTATAGGTATACCACTCAAGCTTAGGGACTATATAAACCATTCAATGTGAGTTTACAACTAAGTATGCTTGCAGAATTAACTGCTCTACTACTAGGAAACCCAACAGGCAAAACCAATCACAATATCAACGTTAGTACTATGAGTGAGTAGCTCCCAAACTGCATGCAAGAGCCTTCCGGCAGACAGTAGTCCCTATTTCACCTGAAAGGCCTCCCATGATACATGGTTCCATCAAATAGATGCTGCTTTTTATTTACAATCTTGCTTTTAACAAATGTTCCTTCTTTTTCTTAAACATAACCATGGAAAAACCTAGGGGCCAGGTTACTGGCTATCACTTGCGAGTAGCTAGAGATCTTGACATTCACACAGCTGGAAGCATGAATGAGGGGGTAGGAGTAAGCTATCTGTGAGGCCCATTTGCTAGATAAGAAGTGCGGAGCTGAAATCATGGTCAAGATGATAAACACACAATTCTCCAGAAAAGGGTGGCAAAGTTAGAAACTCTAGAGGTGGGTAATAAGCTTACCTGTGAGAGCTGGTGAAAGGATGACATCTTTTTCCAAATGTATTTTTTTGATGTCTCTGTAAGACAGGAGAGCTACCTGAGGGCAGACATGACCTGTAGCCTGGGGGCACCTGACAGGCAGTAATAAGAAGCACCTGCTAAAAGTGCCACAACTACGTAGCCTTATGAAAGCTTCTGTTGTAGTTCTTTTACCTCTTGCAAACATCAAGTTCTATGAGGAATGATCCAGGACCAGAAGTAAGGAATCCTTCAACAACCTGCCTGAGTCTCTCAAAGTTGCTGATTTCCAAAGATGCTGCTTCTGGCTTCAGGCCAGTTAGCAACCACAAGATGTAAGTGCCAGAGTTAGGATTACACCCCCAACTACCTGCTTTCCAAACCAGCAGCAAGAGAACCAAGCTTTTCTTTATTTGTTTCAGGTGATGGTTGGGAATCTAACATGAATTCATTTACCTAGAAAGAGAAGGCTGTTTTATGCAAAACACAAGTCACCAGGAAGTCAGTGTTATCAGTGAAGGATTCCCTCTGACTTTCTAGCACCGTTAGGGATCCCAGTGAGCCCTCCACTGAACCGTCAAAGTAGAGAATCCCTGCCTTTGCATGGGTTCTGATCGTCCTGATGTAGTGATGAGAACAAGGGTATAGAGGTTCAATTTCCTGATTCAAAAAGGAAAGCTTGATGTCATGTAATAATGCAAGCAGAAAAAAAGGATGCTACTGAAAGTGGAAGGAAGAAACTCTGACAGCAAGTAGTTTCTATTTTTGGCTTAACTTCTACCCTATCTGTTTCTCATGTGAATCTGTATATATTTATTGATGTCAGTCTTACAGGACATGCAGTGGTTCAGATGATGGTCTCAGTCTTAACATGATCCCTCTAGGTTATTACTGTCCAACTGAACCTTCTGCAATGGGAGAATTGTTCTATATCAGCACCATCCAATAGGGCAACCACTGGCCATATGTGGCCACTGAGCACTTAAAATGTGGCTGTAACTGAGGAAATGAATTTTAAATTTTATTTAATTTGAATTGCTTTACATTGAAATATCCATATGTAGGTTACACCTACTGTATTAGATGTCACACTTTGGGCTATTGGTAATCTTAGCTCTGTACTTGAGCAACAGACAGAATCACTAATCATGGTCAGATTCTTGCTAATTTATTTTCTAATAATTAAGGCCACTAAAGTGAAAGCTTGGGCATGGAGCAATTTTGACCTTGCTGCTGATAAAGTAACATAATATTCCTGCTCTGTGTCAGTGAGGAAGCAAATCAGCCTCATATGTAACAAGGTCGAAACACCACTTAAGGTTTGAGAACAGTAATCTCCTCCAGGTAAGAAGAGAGAGAATGGGACAGAAAATAATATTTGAAGAAATACTGCTTAAAATTTCCCAAATGTATTAAAAGACATACATTTACAGATTCAAGAAGCTCAGAAAACCCAAAGCAATCATCAGAATGAGACTCAGACATGACACAGATGTTGGAATTAACAGGCAAGGAAAAATAACTATGATTAATATGTTAAGGGCTCTAATGGGGAAAGTAGACAATGTACAAGAATGGTGTTGCATTACCAAGAGATGGATAATGCAAGCAGAGGGATGAAAACTCTGAGGAAAAATCAAAAGGAAAGGGTAGAAATGAAAAGACACTATAACTGAAATGAAGAATGCCTTTGATGGGTTCTCAGGAGACTTGGTATGGCCAGGGAAGAATCAATGGGCTTGAAGACAAGTCAATACAAACTTCCCAAAATGAAGTGCAAAGAAAAAAAAATGGGGGAAAAAGGAACAGGTCATCCAAGGGCCATGGGGTAACTGCAAAAGCCATACCATGTACACAAGCAGAACGCCAGGAGAAGGAAGACAAAACAGAGAAGGAATATTTGAGACTATAATGTCCAGAACATTCCAAACTTAATAACAGAAGACACCAAATAAAAAATCCAAGAAGCTCAGAGAACACCAAGCATAAACCACACTGAGACACATCATATTCAAACTGCAAAAAGACGAAAATCTTGAAAGAAGCAGGGGCTGGGGAGGTAAGATGGGGAGAGTTGGTGGGAGGGCAGGGGACAGCTCTGAGCCCACCTTCCCTGCTGAGGAGCAAGGATGAGAATTACAGAGGTCTTCTCAGAAGCAACTATGCAAGCAAGAAAAGAGGGGAATAAAATATTTACAGTATTGGAGAAAAGAAAAACACCAATCTAAAAATCCTACACCAGCAAAATTATCCTTCAAAAGTGAAAGAAATCTAGACTTTCTTGGATCTGTGCTGCAGGAAATGTTGAAAGTAGTTCTTCAGGGAGAAGGAACATGATATAAGTCAGAAACTGGGGTTTAAATAATGAAAGGAAAAGAAAAAATTCAGAAAAGGTTAAGCTAAAATAAGATATTTTCTTATTAATCCATCTAAAAAATAACTGTTCACAGAACAACAACAGTAAAAGTGTATTGGGTCATGAAGCATATGGAAAGTGACATTAATGACAGAGGGTAACAAAGGAGGGGAGGGAGGACCAGAAAACACTGCTGTAATGAACCTATAGCACACGTGTAGTGGTTCAGGTTATTTGAAGGTGGACTTAGATTAGTTAAAAATGAAAACTCTAAGGCAACCACTAAACAAAATTGATTTTTAAGTCTAAAATACTTTTTTTAAAACCTCAGAGGCACAGCTAGTTTTATACATGAAATGCCAGCACATGGACTGGGAACATGGTATAAGCAGTGACACAGAGAAGCAAAATGGAGCTCTGGGAATGAAAGAGATTCTACCTTCACAGGGAAAAAAGGAAAGAGAGATGGAATGTTCTTAACAGTACACACACACACACAACTGCTCTAGCTCATTTGTGAGAAATGTGCTCAGCCAGGACGCATCTTATTATTCAAAGGTCAAGTTGAAAAGCAAACAGATGGCAGCTTCCAAAACACTTCCCTTGCTTGGTCTCAAGAGCACTGATATTTGAGGACAGAAATGCAGGGTGCTGGTCAGGAGCATTCTCCCCTCACATCCGAATGACAGCAGGTAAGTAAATACTCAAATGAGGCTAGACTTAAACCTGCAAGCAAAAGCCACATGCCTAGTGCTCGGGAGAAGTCACCCAGCGCCTCCAGCTGTGGGCTGGGAAGGGGAAACGCGGAGGCTGCCCCATGGGAAACCTTGCATCTTCCGAGCAAGCTGAGGAGCTGAACGAATGAGACAGAGAGCAAAACCAGAAGTTCGTTTTAGCAGTTGCATATCCATTTGATCAAATAAGAAGCGTCTTCAGTATGATACAGAAATGTTTACAACCGGGAATGTTCTCTGAACCAGGAAGGTTTTTTGATTCATTTTCAAAGAAAAAATATGCCTAAGATCATGTGGCCTCTCATTCCATTTTCTTTTTCCTCTTCTGTCTCTCTCATGCCTTGGGAACTCTAGCTGCTCCTCTTAGGTCCTGAGAGGCTCCTTAGAGCTCTTTCTGTTTTTGAAGAGAAGCAGATGAAAACCACAGTTCCCCTCACTGCAGGGTGGAGGGGCTTTTTCTGTGTAGCAAAGCAAATACCAAGGTCACCTTCTGTCTGCCACTACTTAAATTCAGCTCTTATAGATACATGAATATTTGGTGGTGATTTTGTTGGTCTACTGGGATGATAAATTTCAGCAGAAGGGGCCACAAAAGCCCATTGGCAACAAACCCCCAAATACACCACTGGAGGACCAGCTGTCATTTACCTATGGCACCCTTTATGGACGTCAACTGAAGATGTGGCTAGAATCCCAGAAGTGGGGGCACCCCTGACCTCCCTGGCCCTCAGCTGGCTGTGGGTGTCTCAGAGGCTGAGGCTGTTACCTGCCTGCCTTTCACAGTATCACTGGTCAAGGGAATTAGTTAATAGAAGAGAAACCAAGGAAACTGAAACTGTGTAAATTACTGTCACACAGAAATTGGAAGGGTGGGAAAAAGAAAAAAAAAGTTTCTAAGCTACTGCTGGACATACTTAATTAGCATAATTATAAAACTAACCTAAAAAGCCACTGTGTGCACTGTTGTGTGTCACATTTGACCCCTCAGATTTAGGATTTCTGTATAGATTGTCAATCAGAAGCATAAGCAATACTAGCAATACTGATGTCAAAAGTGCCCAGTGAGGTGAGCAAACCATCACAAAGGTGGGAATGGAGGTTTTATGTAATATAAATGCCATATAAAATGTTAGTGTATATTCATGACTATTTAACATTATTTGTATACCAAACACCATGTTCAAAAGACTCTCCCTAACTCACACCAACAGCTTCAGTTCATGAATAAAGAGCCTGTGGTTTTGGGCCACAGCATGACCACCAAGAAAAAGGCAGGGCTGTGACTGAAAACAGAGGCCAAGTGGGAAGGAACTTTCCACAAGAGCCTGTGAGGAAAATAAGCCAAAACCAGTGTCCACCAAAAGCTTGTCATCTCCCCATAGCTACACTTAGAAGAAAACAGCAATTAGGGGGACATCAACAGGATTTATCATCCAGTGTCCCCTCCCCTTAAAACTACCAGGGGTCAACAGCCTGTCCTCTCTGTTCCGTTCTCCGGTCTGTCTGCTTGAGAGCCAGTTCCACTGCTCCCAATCCTCACTACAGGCTCTGTTATCCATCTCAGTATCTGGCAGTGTGTGCCCTAGAGGAGAGTGCACATAGACTTCCACCACACTCCCTTTCAGAAAGCAAAGAGAAGGCAGAAGACCACCTTAGAAACGTTCTCTTCTCTCACAATTTGGCATCTCCAGGAGGAACCCTCAGGCTGACTCGGCGTGAACTGCTCTATAAGCTGGAGGCTCTAACAGAGGAGCCCAGATCTTGCTCCTCTCTTGGTTTCTCCAGCTGCCTCCTACTTGCCTATCTGCTTCCAGCCTCACTTCCCAAGGCTGCTGGAAAGATCTGTGTAGACTTTGTATCTGATTATGCTAACTGTCTGCTTAAGGGACCATTCAGAGGGTCCCCACCACCCCAGGATGAAATCCAGCTTCCTCAGAGTGACACACCAGACTCCTATGACCCAGAACACTCCTTCTCTAACTGCAGAGACACTCCCTCAATAGTTCTCTCTGCCCATCCCCAGTGCTGTTCTTCATTGCCTCTGTTCCACGTCCATCTGCCCCCCAGCAATGTTGCATCTGCTCCTCTCATGGCTCAGGCCACTTCCTGTCCTTGTCCCTCACCTCCTAATTCTACATGTCCTTTGAGGTCTGGTTCCAGAGTCCAGCCTGCTGTGGAGCCTCCCTTCCTTCCCACCACCAACATAATGCATGATGCTGCCACGTAATTATTTCTATGCTTTTCCCTCAAGCAAAAGGCTTATTGATAATGTATCCGAAGGGCATCATCAGATGACTGGATCAAGGTGTAGATGCCTCGGATCAGGCAGAGGTGGCATTAATGCTCCAATGAACTGAGATGCACTTCTGGGCACAGAAGTGGCAAGAATAAAACCTTGTTTAATGAAATGTAAACTGGCAATGCTATGCGGGATGAAGTGAAGGCTGGTGGAACATGCAGCAGGAAATTATGAGGAGGTAGTCTTGAGCCACTGAGAGCAAGAGTGGAGAGCAGGAAGCAACAGTGAGAGCCCATGTGACACTCCTGGTCTGGAAACATACCTGTGAATACTCTAGAAACGTTTAGGGTAGCAGCAGCTGTCAGCTTATACAGCTGTGAGGCAGATGGCAGAACCTCCTCCCAGGTGAACATCCCCAGGACCCACTCCTGCATCTCAACCCTTCCCTCCATCCTCGAAGGCCACAGATTAAGGAAGCTGTGAGTGAATGTCCATAAACTGAATTCTGCCTCAAAAGCCATTCTATTCTCTGTTCATTATTATTTGCCCAAAGAGTGAAGGGTAAAGCTATGTGTGGAGGGCAATCTCCTACCTGAGTACCATCCCAAAGTCTATGGTTCCCTCTCGGAAGACACGTCACCCTCGGCGCCACTGCTGGCACTGCGGTCTTCTTTGCGTGGAGTGTTTCTTTCTTTGCTTGACTCAGAAGGCCCTTTGGCTCTGGTCTTTTCTTTCCTCTGCTGCTGTTTTTCAAGTTTTGACAGCTGATTATAAAAAGTAAAAGGAATTATTTTATAAATGCAAACATGTTCCTATCCAAAACACCAATTACTTCATAGGCAGCAACCATGGACAATGCTTTGTCTGATAACCTGGTATACATAGCGGTTCGGGTGTACCAAACCATACAGAGAATGGTGTCAGCCAGGCACAGGAAGCAGTAACACAGATTGGCCACACTCTCTTGGACTTCTCCCCACCCATAACTACACTTGTCATGCAGTGTTTGGGAATGGTTGACCAACAGGCTTCTTTGACAGGCTGAGAAGAGCTCTATAAATGAAAAGGCTTCCAGTGTGTTATTTTTTTTCTTTTTCTTTGATTTCTCTATGGCTTTTTCTCACCAAGTTGTCTACTCACTTACCATTTTCTAAAGAGTGATCAAACACTCTACTGTTTGCTGAAGGTAACAGAGAGACCATAACATATACTTTAAGCACATTTAGACATCATCTCAGTTTTCAGTTTATTTTTTGAGAATGAGCTTGACTCACCCATGGCCAAAATCTCAAGCGCCACTAGCTGGCTGCATAGGGACGCCAGCCACAGGAGCCCTCTCAGACTTTCTTCAGGCTTCTAACACCCAACTCCAAAGGGACTGGTTCCATTTCTCCCCTGGAACCTCCCCAACTTGTTCTAAGAGATCACAGACCACAGACCAGATGGTAGAAAGGAACTAGATCATCTGACACTGAGCAATAGCACAGCTCATCCAGAAAGGCCTGCTGAGAAACTTGTCAGAGAAGATTGGCCAAGGTTTAGCCCATGGAATTTTCTTGGACCAAAAAGCCATCTGTAACAAAGCCCGAGGGATAGCACCACCCAGTTTCATATGCCTCCCAGATCAAGAATGCAAATTTTTATAGTTCACATAGAAAAAGGGCAAACTGAAGCCAGAAATGTTGGCTTCTCCCTGCTGGTTCTTGCCCCATATCCAAAGACACAAAGAAAAGTCACTGTAACCAACCTGCCAGATCATCTCTCCATCCCAGACAGACTTCGAGCTAAACCTTTAGATAGACCAACAATCAACAAGCTCTCAATTTCATCCAGAAAAGCCAATTTGCTAATGGTTGATTTATAATACCTTTCTCACTCCCCACTTACCTAAAGTCGTATGTAGTAAACTAGGTTGGTTAAAATGCTAATTATATTTTGTGAATGGGGACATCCTGTGTGTCTGACTCTCTGACCCACCAGCTCTCCTCGCAGACATTGCCCCTTGATAAATCCCACTGTGTACACAGGAAAGGCTCCCAGGGAAGTGCACTACACTGCTGTTTGGTTAGCAAAAGCCTAGAAACAACCCAAATGTCCAGTGAAGAGACCAACAAGTACAATGCACCATAGTTACCTAAAGCAATACTGTACTACAGATCTACATGTATCAAAAAGTAAGTCTTTAAAGTCATGTTATGTGAACCACATTAAGTTTCAGGAGGTTGTATATAGCAGGATTCCATTTACACAGAACAACACTATATATTGCTAATGGGCTCATGCAGATATAGTAGGACTGGAAAGACACAAACCAATTTCAGTACACAGCTAACTGTGAAGAGAAACAGGAGAGAATGGGATCATAGGGGAATTAATATATACCGACTTTAACAGAAACTGTCAACTTTTACTTCTATACAGACACAATCAGATTCAGAGAAGAGCTACAAACAGTGCCAGAATGTGAACTGCCAACACCTGGACCGATGGTAAGACCATGCCAGGAGGGAAGCCAGGACTCAGCTTCCTTCAGCAACACAGTCCTAACTGTGAAAAAGTAGCATCTACAGAACCGTGTGCTTACAGCTTAGCCAACTTTATTCTGGCGCAAGCTCTTTGTCTCCTCAGGGCCTGGTAACAAACAGCTCATGTACAGGCACTCTGAGCAGGAATGACCTGGAGCAAAGGTGACAAAAGGGTAACATTTTAAAAATCTGGGTAATGGCTACACAGAGCACCTTGCTACATTTTTCTCTGTACTATAATTTTTCCATAGACAATTATTTTCCTCTGTACCATTCTACCACACATTAGGGAGAAAGTTCTTTTTATCTAAGATGACAGCCTTCCTTCCCTGTTTTTTTTTATGTAAAAATGTTCTATTATGAAATGATGAGGAGAGTAGATGGGGTCCTTCTGTCTTGCTTTTTTTGCAAAATGATTGTGGATTGCGCAATGTGAACATACTTAACACTACTGAACTGTACATTAACAATACAGTTAGGATGGCACATTGTATGTTACGTGTTTTACCACAATTTAAAAATATTTTTTACTGAGGCATAATTGACATAAAACACTACATTAGTTTCAGGTGTACAACATAATGATTCAATGTTTGTACATAACAAAATGATCACAATAAATCTTGTTAACATCCACCACCAAAAATAAGTTTTTAATGATCTTGGAAAACATAAAATTTGCAATCCATGCTGGACCCCCACACCCCAGCTTCTCTTTTATTTATTCTATGCCTAGTTTATGAAATCCAAACATCTGGAATTCAGTGTTCTGCAGTGAACTGTGATAAGCTGCCTTCTGCTGCCAGCAGTTTACATTTGTCTCAGTGTCTGTATATGTGTTTATACATGTGTCTATTACATATGTGCATATATCTACAAATCATATATGTGTACACACATACACATGTACATACATAAAATCATGAACATGCTTCAAGTTAGACACTGAGAAAGCATAATTTCTATTTTAGAAAGAGACCCTCTGAGAGGTAAATACAGAAAATGTAAATATCACCGATGATTCAACCAAACCAAGCCTTCCCCCACCACTGAGATACAATTTCATGCAAAGTACTGTTTGTGATCCAACCTGTTGTTCATTTTCTACTCTATAATAATGCTGAGAAGCCAGATCCTGGGAGGGTGATGAGGAATGATTCCCAATTGAAGCAGGCTTCCCAGAGGCACCTCAGGTCCCCATAGTGCCCACCTGATTCAGCATGAATGCAGGGGCACCATCAACAAGCACAAAACTGTGAAACATCATTTTGACCTTCCACCCCAGCCCATCCCCTCCCAGACTTGTAAATCATGTGATAATTATTTAAGCCATAGACAAAGTGCAAGTTTCTGTTAACAAAGTAATGCTGATTCTCTTACATTATTCATCTTAAAACAACCCCAACCACATATGGCTCCATGCCTCAAAGTAAAGTTCTCTGTGAGAACATTGTGAACTAACCTAATAAATTGAAGCCTTTTCTCAGAAAACTTGGATTTCAATGCAGCCAAAATGGGGAATTTACATCTCAAGGCAAAAAAACAGTTGGATTTTTTCTTTTTAGGAAACAAATGAAAAAGGAAAAAGAAGAAAGGAAATTAGTAGTGTATATGGACTCATTTAGAATGTCAACAGCTTTCAAATTAACAGAGAGATGCATGTCAAGAATATAAACCACTACAGGCCCTATGAGCACATGACCTACAAACACCCAAATGGTGTGCTTTGGGGGTTTGTTTGTCTGCTTATTTTTAATTAACTGATGAGAGTGTCTATATACTGCAAAGGCAACACTGTCCAAATCACACTGGTCTAGTGCCTAGAGAGAAACCCAACCTTCCAAAGGCAGCTCTGGACCCAGACACTGCCAGGGGCCTGGTAACCGTCCAACAGCAGCCTGTCTCACTCATGGTGGACCTCAGAAAAAGGGAGCCACAGTGGAGGGACTACAGTGTCTACATCCAAACCTCCCCAATTCATGACTAAGTCCACTGAGAAAACAACTGATTTTCTCTGTAATTAAGATGTCCATGCTCTAATTGCATAATGTAGGAATAAACTAGTTGAACATAGAGATTATTATAATGCCCTGTGGCAGGGCCTGGGAACTTAGATGCCTTGAGGTACCAGGCAGGTAGCAAAATGAATGACATAACTAAGTATAAGACAACAGGGCACAGTGGAGACTACAGCCATGATGGAGAGGACAAGCCCCACTTAAGGGCATCTACACTTTCTTTTTAAACATGTATCTGGACAAATGTAATGTCAGTGGGACAGCTTGGGCCACCTGTTAGGGATTCCCACTATGCCCCTCCACCCATGTGATCCTATTTGCTCTTGATAAGCCAAGGACAGTTGTTACTATCATCAACATCCCACAGAGAAGCCACTGTCGGCTGCCTGCCCTAGTCATAGTCACATTCCCAGTCCTCCTCCCTCCCTGCTGGCACAAACAACTTCCTACTTCAAAAGTGGCAAAGGTGGGGGCAGAGCCAAGATGGCGGCATGAGTAGCTCAGTGGAAATCTCCTTCCAAAAACATATATATTTATGAAATACAATAAATAAAACTATCCTAAAAGAGACAGCAGTGGATACAGTACAACAGCCAGACTACATCTACATCTGTGAGAATTCAACATCACACAAAGGGGGTAAGATACAAGCAGCAGCCCAGCGGGACCCCAATGCCCACCCCACCCCAGAACCCAGTGGGAAGAAAGGAGTCAGAACGGGGAGGGAGTGAAAGCCCAGGACTGATAAACAACCAGCTTTAGAAATCCACACCCAGAGCGCAGACACATAGTGCACAGGGTGCTGGATATTAGAGAACCAGAAAAGCAAAACCTGCAGGCAGGTCCCCACAACTGGCACCCCTGAAACAAAAGAAAAGCGAGTGCTTTTTGCAAGTCTTAAAGAGACAGGGATCCCACAGCTGGACGAAGTCATCCCAGCACACTTAGCTAGCAGCTGGGAATCCCGGGGAACTTTAGGGACCCTAAACCCCTGGGCAGCAGCGCAGCTCTGAAGCCCCTTACAGCACTAAGCAGCCTGCCAGTTGTTACCCTAACTAGCACAGACCCCGACACACAGGACCAGTAGTGGGAGAGTGGCAGCGCACGCCTGGGACGGCAGCACCAGAGGGAGCCAGGAACGGCCCGCATGCACCGGCGGCACCAGAGAGGACCGGAAGTGGCCCGTGTGAGCCCACCACAGTGGCAACCGAGTGGCCCAGA